CTGGGGCTGGCGCTGGGGCTGGGGCTAGCGCTGGGGCTGGGGCTGGGGTGAGAACACAGGAAGACCACCTGCCCACAACGTGCGTGTTCTACAAAATCCTTAGACGCATCTCTTGTTTTCAAAAACATCAAATTGTATAGCCCACGCTGTTTACGTAACTTGAGCCCTGCCGCCACTTTTCTCTAAGCCAGACCAGTAATATTTTTCAAAGTCACAGACTCCTGCATTTAGGAAAAATCATGGAATCTCAATTTGGAGGTAACACTGTAATGACACATGTAAAGCATACGGTTTATACAGCACAAAAAACCAGTTTGTGGCCAAACACTTCATATTGGAGGATGTTAAATAATAAGCGCGGTCAAGAAGGTGTGATGAGAATTGTGTGACTAAGTACGGCCTCTCGCTCTTCGACAAGCCCCTCACCTGGATTCCGGTGGCAGGCGGCTCTGCTTGCTGCAGGGGCACAGGCAGGTCAGCTGTCACCGTTCCGCTCGGTGCTCGGTGGTGCTGGCGCCCGGCTGCTGGAGGAGGGAAGGTGGTGTGTGATCACAGGCGGAGGAGATAAAAGGTCAGAAACCACTTCCTCGCACCTTTAGAGCGTGGAGAAAGCCAGTGTTTCACCAACCGCACAGCGGCTCCGTCTTCCTGCAAAATAACCCCTGGAGCCCCCAGCAGCTCAGAGGGACCACGGGCTTCCAAAGACAGGGTTCTAAAAACCAGCCCTGGGAAGGCGGGAGAGGGGGCACAGGATGCGGACGGCCTCCCCCTTTCGCTAGTGCCTGGGGCCAGGGTTGAGGGCAGAAAGAGCTTATAAATCGCAATGGTATTTGGTATCTGATTCATTAGTGTTGAGGGGGGATTTAAGTGTTCAAGATGTTTGAATCGTTCTTTATTTGTTTTTGCCACAGACTTTCTGTTAAAGGCTCCTGGGAGCCTGGGTTTATTTCTCATCTTCACCAAGCTTCCAGGAGCTACCTCCCTCCACACACACAACACACACACACACACACACACACACACACACACGCATTTCCAACATAGAAACCCACAGCCCCTCGGGGAGCTGCCTCCGGGGACCCTCCCGCC